CGCCGCCGGAGCTGCTGCCGATGCTGCCGCTCCAGCCGCCACCGCTTGCACCCCGGCCGTTCTGCCCGCCCCCGCCATGGGAAAAACACTGCCGCCAGAGGTCGCCGCCGTCGCCGCCGGAGCTGCTGCCGATGCTGCCGCTCCAGCCGCCACCGCTTGCACCCCGGCCGTTCTGCCCGCCCCCGCCATGGGAAAAACACTGCCGCCAGAGGTCGCCGCCGTCGCCGCCGGAGCTGGTGCCGATGCTGCCGCTCCAGCCGCCACCGCTTGCACCCCGGCCGTTCCCCCCGCCGCCGCCGTGGGAAAAACACTGCCGCCAGAGGTCGCCGCCGTCGCCGCCGGAGCTGGTGCCGATGCTGCCGCTCTTGCCGCCACTAAGGGGACCCCGATCGTTCCCCCCACGCCGCCGCGGGACAACACTGCCCCCAGAGGTGACCGACGTCGCCGCCGGAGCTGCTGCCGATGCTGCCCGTCCAGCCGCCACTAAGGGGACCCCGGGCGTTCCCCCCACGCCGCCGCGGGACAACACCGCCCCCACAGGTCACCGACGTCGCCGCCGGAGCTGCTGCCGATGCTGCCGCTCCAGCCGCCACGTTGGGCACCCCAGCCGTTGCCCCCGCCGCCGCCGCGGGGAAAATATTGCCGCCAGAGGTCGCTGCCGTCGCCGCCGGAGCTGCTGCCGATGCCGCCGCTCTTGCCGCCACTAACGGGACCCCGACCGTTCCCCCCGCCGCCGACGTGGGAATAACACTGCCGCCAGAGGTCGCCACCGTCGTCGCCGGAGCTGGTGCCGAAGCTGCCGCTCTTGTCGCCACAAAGGGGACCACGGGCGTTCCCCCCACGCCGCCGCGGGACAACACTGCCCCCAGAGGTCACCGACGTCGCCGCCGGGGCTGCTGCCGATGCTGCCACTCTTGCCGCCACCGCTTGCACCCCGGCCGTTGCCCCCGCCGCCGCCGGCGGAAAAACACTGCCGCCAGAGGTCGCCGCCGTCGCCGCCGGAGCTGCTGCCGATGCTGCCGCTCCAGCCGCCACCGCTTGCACCCCGGCCGTTCCCCCCGCCGCCGCCGTGGGAGAAACACTGCCGCCAGAGGTCGCCGCCGTCGCCGCCGAGGCTGGTGCCGATGCTGCCGCTCTTGCCGCCCCTAAGGGGACCCCGGCCGTTCCCCCCATACCGCCGCGGGACAACACTGCCCCCAGAGGTGACCGACGTCGCCGCCGGAGCTGTTGCCGATGCTGCCGCTCCTGCAAACCCCCAACAACGTCCATTCCCCCGAAAACCCTCGCTGCTGAAGCCAAAGGTATAGTGTTCGGAGTACGTGGGTACCGCAGCCTGGGTGAGAATTTTGTGCGACGCCGAGGAATGATCGTGGCCTGAGTTTAGGTAGAAGCACCGCTCCCCCTTGTTGTGCATCTTGGACGGGCGGTGACGGTGGCGGAAGCAGGGCATCATGAACGGCAGCGCCACCCGGATCCTCCTCTTGCCGTACAGCTGAACTTCCGGGCACCGCTTGTCTTCCTTGCTCACCTCAGCAGCGATGTTCAAAGAATCGTTCATCCACGCGAAAGCCTCGGACCAGTTGGCCCGGAAGGACAGCGCCTTGGTCGGGTACGGAACTCCGGGAAAATGCTTCGGGTATTCCAGAAACCCAGCCTTGCCTCCCTCCATCACTAGCGCGATACTCCGCTCCACACGACCGCCGTGAGCTCGCGCGTAACGTTCAGTTCCGCCAGCAGTCCCCGAATTTCCTCGTAGACTCACTTGGTGCCGTTGTCGGTCAAAACACAGCCAGCTCCCCGTGAGTAGCCAAGAAAGCCTTGATGGAGGCGTACCACGCACGGAACGCGCCCACGACGTTAGCACCGCTCTTCTCCCGAAAGAACAAATTCCAGCCGTAGTTGGTGTGGTGGTCCAAGATCTGCATCAAGTACTTGGCACCACCGCTTGATGAGCCGAAAGGACCGGCTAGGTCCATGGCGACACGTTCAAGAGGCCGCGTCGTCCGGCGGGAAGGGGAGATGACCTTGGGGACCGAGCGCTGGATCGCCTTCGACTCCGCACATCCGTCACAGCACTCCGGAGTGCCGGTCACCTTGATGCCCATCTGCTTAGCGGTCTCGTACACGGTCTTGGAGTTGACATGGCCGAGGAAGCAGTGAAGATCGTTGTAGTTGATACTAGACTGCAAGCCAGGCCGTAGCATCGCCGCGACAACCGCGGCGATTGGACGTGGTAGGATCGACGCGAGTCCCCTGGATGTAATTCCCGTGCGGGAATTAGGTGAATTGCACTAGCCCCCCCCAAATCGATGCCCCATGCCGGTTGAGCTTGATCTCATGACGTTCCTGGATCTCGTTCAGCGACAGAACATCTAGCGCCAAGTCCGGTACCACGCCAACATTCTTCAGCGTAACACGCACATCCTCATGGCAATGGAAAATCATATCCAAGTCACCGAACAACTCTATCAGGATGGGCTTGCCGTCGCCAAGCATGAGTAGCCGCTCCTCCGGGCGCGGTGGACGCCTGTTGTACACCTTTTCGGTCTGAAGGGACCACGTGGACCACGGCGCCAGAGTCTCCGAGGAAGACTGTGGAACCCGGGCGACGCGGGAAAAGGTTGGATATTTCGCGCGCAGGGGGGGATGAGGAGACGGAACAGACAAGGTGCATCGCGAAGAGACCGCCACTAAAGGTAACCTCGCCGTCGCCGCCAAGCGCCTTAGGAACCGCTCCCGCCGAGTCACTTGTCGCCATGGCACCGTTGGGCTGCAATCCGTCATCGCCACCGTCCACGCCACCGCCGCCGTGGAAAATGTCGACAAACTCAAAGAAGGGCTCGGCCGGTGTCACAACCTGCTGCTGTACGATCGCCCCATTGCCAACGCCGCCCCCACTACCGCTGCCGTCACCGCCGCTGCCGCCGCCAACACCGCCACCGCCCATCATGGCGTCACTGTAGTACATCCCATCGGCCGCCGGGATATCACGATATGGGGCGGCCGATGCATCCGTGGTGGCGTACGCGTACCCCGGACCGACAGCACCAGCAGAAGTGACGACGTTGAGGTGGGTGCCGGTTACTTTTGGCACAATTGCGCCACATGTGGCCGTACTGGCCGCAGGCGCCGCACGTACCTCCGAACCCGCGGGGGGCGGCGCAATGCCCGGCGTGGTGGCCGTGCCTCCCACACCACATGCATCGGTGCACTGTACCCATCGACCCGCCGGGCGGAGGTGGTCACTCCGGCTGGTAGTACACGGCGTTACTACCGCAACCGTAGATCCCGCCAACCCCGATCATAGCGGACTGCTGCTGCTGCCGCTGCTGCTGTTGCGGCTGCCGGTGCGCTGCTGTTGGGCAACAGCTCCCCCAGAGGACCAATATTGCCCGCGGCCGTCGCCGCCGTTACCATTCCGCCATTGCCCTCCGTCCCACCCGCCCCCCCCGTTGCCGCCGTGCCCAAAACCACGGCCAACAACAAGCGCATGCGGGTTGGCGGAAACCGCCGGCGTCCCAGCCGCCGACCTCATCTCGTAGCCTTGAGCGTAGCATACCGACCACGCACGACGTCCTACAGCTCAGCGCGGGTTAGGTACGCTTGGAAAGGCTACTGCGTTTTTCGCCATCATAGCGTGCAGGGAGTTGGCGCATGAGAATCTGCACAACCTCCAGCTCACTCTTGACAATGCCCACAGCCCGCAAACTTGGTCTCAAGCTGTGCAACGCGCGAGAAGAACACCTTGGGGTCCTCATCATCCTTCATTGTGATGTTGTCAAGCTCGGCGACAAGAAGCTGACAATCGGCTGGGTGGTTCGGCAAAAACCAATCCTCTATCATCCTCCACGCATCGGCCACGGAATGGCAAGAGTACAAGGTGTTCTCAAATGGGGCCCCCACCGCTGCCTCCAAGATAAAACCCCACATCCTCTTGTGCTCACCAACAAGCTTTGAACCGAACTGGCGAGTCAGGTATCCGACGTCTTGACAACTCACAACGGGAACCTCAGCACTGCCGGCGATGGTATGCAGGAGATCATGGTTGTCCGCGTTGACCCGGAACCGTCTCCGCCAACTAAGAAAAGCGTCGGCGGTGCAATTTGACGGGAGTCTAGGCACAGGAGTTCTGACAATGGTACCTCCCAAAGGCAAACCCGGCACACCAGTACCACCACTGTGACTCACCCCACCTGGCCCCGTCGGCCCCACCGATGCAGATGGAGCCCGTCCAGTAGCAACTAGACCGTCGCCTCCTGGGCTGCCGGCAGGTGCACCCGCCGACTGCTGCTGTGCTGCCCGAACTTCCGCCGTCTCAGCCTTAGCAGCCTCTATAGCTCGCAGCGCCTCATCCAGCCTCGCGCGCACAGCTGCAAATATCCTCCGTATCCCCACCATCCGACATATCTAACTAAAACCCTAAATATGCTGTCCCAGCCTCGAAGTGCTGTCCCAGCTATAAAACCTGCTGTCCCGGTCCCCGCAATGGCCACCGCACCAGCTACACAGTGCTGCTGTCCTCGCCCCCGTTGGCCGCGATCCCAGCGTGAAGAAATATTGAAGAAAAGTGTCGGCCGCTCCGTTGAACCGGCTCACACAGCTCAGACGCCAATAATCACTACCAACACCAGGCCCAATATATTGTGTTTGGGTGCGGTAGCCCGTCAGGGGCCTAATAAGAAAGAAGGTTGACTCAAGACCTTTGGTTGATTAGAGAGTGGCATGCACGGCGGAGGCACGAGGGGGCCCGCAGGTATCATGTCCATCATACACAAACATCATCCACGTAACCCCCGGAGGCCCCGTAGATCAGTATCCTGCTGAGCACCCCAAGCAGAAGTTGACCGTTCAAACCCCCCAAACAAACGGTGCCCAATAACCGCAATGCTTACACCCGTACGAAACACATACACCGTCCGTGCTCGTCCCCTGCATCCGCCCGCGTTTGCCCACATAAACGACCAAGGAGGAAAAATAATCTTGGCGCTGATCACTCGAACTCACATAAAATTGGAAAGTGTGTCGCGCGCGACTTTCTCCCGCCAGCAAACGGTTGTTTGTGTTGGTTTACGCCTGGAACACCGAAGACGGATAAAATGCTCACACACGTGGGTGCATCTTGCACTTACACCGCTACGTAACTCTCGAAAGTGGGTGGCACCACGCCAAAGTATTGCGAAATCAATCTCGTTGCCTCCGTTCATGCATGAGTGCCAATTTGAAGGCAGAGTGGCTACCCGGTAATGCTTGGCGACAGGGCTCAGCAAGAATTTTTGCTGCGGCTTCATGTTCACGAAGGCCCACTTGCCGGTCATCTCTTTGAATCCCCACTCCACCGTTACGCGGCAGTGGCTCATACGCTTGTTGAAGTCGGCCATCTCTGGCGTGAGAGGGCCGACACTAGACGCGCTAAGAGGACAGACAAGGTGGTTGCTCAGTCCATACGCCGGATCTCCGTACAAACAGAACGGATGGCCTGTAGGGCTGTTTAGCATCGACAACTTCTCCATCAACCCAGACTGCGCTAGAATAAAGCTGTCATGACGTGTCCCCGCCACGGGGCCCCACAGATCCACAAAAGGCCCGTCTGGTGTATCTACCCCTTGGAACTTCATGGCGTGCCTCCTCTTGTGCCCATTGTAGAACAGGCGCTGCCAGTACTTCGGCCTGCGAATCAGTTTTGGGCGTACGGAAGGATGGGCCAACAACAACAACACAGGTGGTCAAGACATACACCCAACAGCAGTGCTGCTGTATTTAATCGTTCTGCTACAACTTCATAGCGTGTTGCAACCTCGTGGTAAATCGCAATCAATCATGTGCACGCGCAACCACACTACTACAGTTCCACACAGATCATCAAATAAATGGTCTATCTAGTGAGTGCGTCGCAAAACTCGACGAAGGTACAAGATGGCCTGCTGATGCTGCGTTGGATACGCGGCGGATAAAGCAATCCGCGGGCAAGGGGGAATCACGCTACTGTCTGTGGTATGTACCAACACGCCAGACTCCGTCGAGTCGGACTTCACCTTGCAATGCCGCTAACGGTGCCATCGATAAATCCCCAACAGTGTGTGAGAGGACAGCCGGAGTTGAAGATTGCTTCCGCAAACTCGATCAGGTGCGGCTGCAGGCGTGACACGTCGAGGGACAGCAGATACCCCCACCTGAAGTCTAGAAATGCAACATCCAGTTGAAGGCTTCGCAGATACACGATTCGCTCACCCTGAAAACCAAGCGCACGTCCTTCAGGCGGCACGGGAAGCGAGCCGATACAGGAGCACCCACAGAGCCTCCCGTCCGCTTACCACGAACCCACAGTCCGTTCGGATGAACGCGGGGATCAACAGCAGATCCAGCGTCAGCATAACCTGCACCACGTCAACACCACACAGGAAACCAAAGAACGATGCTTGTTACTCCAGTGCACACCTCTCCGATGGCTTGTGGATCTAACATAGCACAGGTTTGACGCACCCAGGACGGCTAACCTCCCGCGACCCACGGGGTGCTGACATACTGCTGCTGCTGTTGTACGATGCTGACACTGCTGTTGATGATAGCCGGAGTACACATCTCCGAGCCACAGCAACGATACATAACAGGGAATTATTGAACTTCGGTTTGAATTCGTGACATCAGTTTGAGAATTTTCTTGTGGCGGCAAGTAAACCCCTCTTTTGACTTGAGGATTGGAATCAAAAACACCTTTTTTTTGCCGCCTTTCCCCAAGTCCTCTCCAAAAAAGCACGTGTCTGGAGCAGCCCCAAACGGCCTCAGGCGAGCTTCTGTGGTGGTGAGCACGTACCCTGGCATGTACTGAGGGGTCGCCTTAGCTTGGCAGTTGCGTTGGGTCCGCCGAGAGATAGAGAAGCAACTCACCGGTGATCAGTTGTCTTTTAGAGAATAATTTTTCAAGAAACGTGGTGTTTGTCTGTGTGTCGCGTGACCTCTGCCTCTCCCAACAACCACACACCCTCACCTGCACTGCTGCACATCCCTACAGCCCACCCATACATAGACGTGTTGAGGAACCAAACGTGAGCACTCCTCCCCTCCTCGGGGGCTCGTTCCTTCACAGTAGAGCTGCTTTTCGGCCGTTGTGTGCACGCGCATCCGAGAGAGCTCGCTGCTGTAGTACCCACCCGCTCTTTCTTTTTTCGGAACGAAGAAAAAAAAAAAAACGCCCGCACGCTCGTGTGTGTGTTCCCCCCAGCCTCGTCCGGGTGGCCACCGCCGTTAACTGCTAGCGGCTGATGATGTCTTTGGTTGTATTGTTCAAGGTTAGGTAGAAAGTGCAGCAGCATCCCAACGCCGTTTCTCGTGCTGCTCCGTCCGGCCCCAGTCTGAATCGACTCCTTCGACAGCAGCTCACCACGTCACCTCATCAAGCAGCAACCAACCACGCGGAGGAGGAC